GGCTGGCGCAGCACGCAGCCCAGCAACCGTTGGGGTACAGTGACGGCGCAACGCTCTGGGGCCGGCCTCCAACGCAGTGCATGGGCTCCGTGACTCAAAGCCGCCGCAGTGGCCTCAGTGCGCTAAGGATGGGCCTCTGTTGGCTAGCGCTAGTGCGCAGCCTGTTCTTCCGGCGCCGGCACGCAACCCGTCTCGCCGGCGCGCAGCTCGATCTTGCCGGCGCTCAGGCTAGGCGCAAGGCGCGGGGGCAGCCCCTAGAGAAAGCCTCGCTTCGCGCGACTCCGACCAGCGCAACTGTGGAGGCAGGCACAACTGATGGGGCTTTGTTGAATATGGTCGATGCCGGCTTGCTAGACCTTCCGCAGCCGAAGGGTCTCGGCGCAAGCTCCAGCCGCTAACGGAGCGCCGTAAGATAAAGAAGACGAAACGGAGTGCTAAGGGGGCCTCGCCCTCCGCAGCGGCCGTATGATTGTCCTCGCTTGGAATGTTAGGGGCCTCAATTGTCCTCGAAAACAACATGAGGTTGCCGGCCTCATGTGTTTGAAGAAGTTAGATGTTTGTGCTCTCGTCGAAACCAAGCTCACCCTTACAAAGCTAGCTCGCTTTCATCGGCTTCGGCTTAAGCGGTGGAAGCTTGCCTCTAATGCCTCCGAATCCTCCAAAGCTCGCATTGCCCCCTTTTGGAATCCGGATACAGCTTCGGTCGAGCTCTTGGATTTTTCTCCTCAAGGGTTGCATGTCCATATTCACAGCCTTGTTGATCGGCCGCAGCTTCATGCCACCTTTGTTTACGGTCTTCACACGATCTCAAATCGTCGTGAGCTCTGGACGAATCTTCGGGCTCCGGAATCCTACTAGTCAATGGCTTGTTCTCGGCGACTTCAATTCTATCCTTTCTCCGGAAGACAAGCATAACGGAGTGGTGGGGTCCAATTATGAGTCTTTCGATTTTTGCTCTTGTTGTTTGGATCCGGGTCTACGGGATCTAGCCGTATACGGGCAGCCGGCTCACTTGGAACAGCGACGTTGTTTGGACCAAGATTGACAGAGTTCTCGCCAACCCCTCTCGGCCCGTTTCCTCTCTGCCTATTTCGACCATTTCAGTCCGCCTGGGGCTTTTTCCGACCATGCTCAAGCTTGGGTTCGCATTGATAGTTCGCCTCCTCTCTGCCTGAAGCCGTTCAAATTTTTTAACATGTGGGCTCTACATGACAGTTTCCTCCCGATTGTTGATAGCCACTGGGCACGTGGTATTCATGGCACCCCGATGTTCTCTCTCTCGCCGCAAGCTTAAGGCTCTAAAGCGGCCTCTACGTGAGCTCAATAAGCTTCACTTCAGCCATATTTCTAAGCACGTTGCCCGAGCACAAGATGATCTTGAGCGTCTTCAACAAGCCTTACAGTCCGACAGAGATAATGTCCGCCTTGTTGAGCAAGACAAGCAAGACCGGCCGGCCTTGATCAATCTCAAGTCAGCGGAGAAAATGTTTTACTAGTCGAAGCTCAAATGCCAGTTCCTTGAAGAGAGTGATAGAGGCAGCTCGGTTCTTCCACTCCCTCATGACCCAACATCACAAGAAGAACTTTATTGCGGCTATCGCGGATGATGAGGGTCACTCACGACTTCGCTCTCCACCGTCGCTGACACTTTTGTTAGATATTTTTAGAGGCTTCTTGGTACCGCTCGAGCTACCACTCCTCTAGATGTCGAGGTTGTTTCTCGTGGGCCTTGCCTTGATTCAGTGCTCTCATGAGCTTCTCCTTGCGCCCGTTACCGATGACTTAATCCATAAAACTCTTTTGGTATCAGCAACGATAAAGCCTCGTGTCCGGATGGTTTCTCGTCTCTATTTTTCAAGACATACTCGGGACATAGTGGGGGTCGATTTTTGTGCCGCCATCAAAGATTTTTTCTCCTCTCGGTCACCGCTTAAACAGGTTAACCACTCGCTTATTACGCTCATTCCGAAATCGGCTCATGCTTCCTCCCCTTCGGACTTTCGACCAATTTCTTGCCGCAATGTGGTTTACAAGGTCATCTCAAAAATTCTCTCTTCCAGTGTTAGCGAGTGCTTTGGTCGACATCATCAGTCCCATGCAAAATGCTTTCTTAGGTGGACGGAAAATGTCGATAACATCCACCTTCTCCAAGAATTGCTCCGACATTATGGTCGAAAGCGTGCCTCGCCTCGTGCCTTCTGAAAGTGGACTTCAAGAAGGCTTTTGATTCCGTGCAATGGTCCTTTCTCCGTAATCTTCTTTTGTCGCTTGGCTTCCCGAGTACTTTTGTCCACTTAATCATGGCTTGTGTGGATTCTCCGTCCTACTCGGCTTCAGTGAATGGTTGCTTGTTTGGTTTTTTCCGCGGTAAGAGCGGGATTCGGCAAGGCGACCCGCTCTCCCCTTACCTCTTTATAGTGTGCATGGAGTACTTCTCTCGCATGCTCCCGTCTCGCCTCGGATATCGCTGGTTTTCGTTTTCACCCGCAATGTGAACTTCACCGAATCAGCTCACATTGCGTTCGCCGATGATGTTATGCTTCTTTGCCGTGCTGACCGCGTTTCAGCTCAGTGCTTGACGCAGCAGATTCAAATGTTCGACAGTGGTCTCGAGTCCGACCATTAATTCGGCCAAGTCCTCGATTTACTTTGGAGGCATAGGAAGTTCTCTCGAAGTAGGCTCTCCTCCAAGATACGGGGTTTTCTCGAAGGCACATTCCCCTTTCGTTACCTTCGTGTCCCTCTCGCTCCTCACCGTCTCTTAGCCAGCCAATTCTCCCCTCTTTCGCGAGCTTAGAGTCCGCGGTACAATCTTGGATGGGGAAACATTTGTCTTACGCCGGCCGACTTGAGCTATTGCGCTCGGTGTTAGCAGGGATTATTCACTTCTGGCTAGCAATTTTTCCTATTCTAGCGGTGGTTCTCTCCCGCATAACTAGTATTTGTCACAACTTCCCGTGGACCTGGGACTACAAGAGGGGTCATTCAGCCTTGGTGGCCTCGGTCTCGCATTTGCCGGCCGAAAGCGGAAGGGGGCCCGGCGCTATGGCATCCGCCTACTCTCAACCAATGCTACCTTGCGCGTCACCGTGGGACATTCACCGCAAGACAGACTCTATTTGGATCCGTTGGGTTCATCACTATTATCTAAGAGATCAGTCCGCCTCGCAGTGCCAAGTGCGTCAATCCGCCTCTCCCACTCGGAAGGCGCTCGCTCTCCACACGCGATAAGCCGCTTGGAAAATTCGAGGTTAGCTCTCGGTGGAGGTGCGCTTCGCCACTTGGGGCCTCGCCAAATTCATTCATAACGCCTACCAAGACCTTCGCCTCCAAGATGCGGTGGGTAGACACTTCTAGGTCCCACTGTCACCACCGTCTAAAAATTCAATTTTTTGAATTTTGAGCTGAAATTTTATACACAAGTTTGGAAAAATCCAATCTAGTTTTTGGAAAATTTTCAGAATTTTTCAAGGACCGAAAGTATGCTTTTTTATTTTTTGAACATTAAAAATGCAAAAAATCGAAAAAAAAGAAAATAAGTCGGAACGATCCAAAAAATGTGAGGGAGCACAATAATAACATTTTGGAATTATTGGGAAGGTTTTTGTTTTAAAGGGACGAATTTTAAAGCCGAAAAGCGAAATTTGATGAAACCGGCTCGGCAGCCGGCGCCATCCGCTCGGCGTAAGTCGCTCCTAACCTCCTTTGGCGCACCGGGATAGCCAACGTGCGCAGGGGCTCGCGAGCTAGCCCGCAAGGGGCGTGGAAGGCCATAGTCCCTCTAAGAAGCTGGTCGCGGAGGGTCACCTCCGCATAGCTAGTTAGCAGGCTGAGGTCTCGTTCGTTAACGGAATTAACCGGACAAATCGCTCCACCAACTAAGAACGGCCATGCACCACCACCACCCATAGAATCAAGAAAGAGCTCTCGGCCGGTAGTAAGTCGGAGAGAGAAGGTAGAGAGAGACACTCTCCTCCTCCCCCATGGAGCTCTTTCCCTCCGTACCATACTTACCGCCATTTGTACTCGCTTCGATTTTCTTGCTTTGGTTCACACCGTGTTTTTCCCCTTTTTTTCTCTACACTATTCTCTCTCCTTGATATTCCGCCTCTTTCTTAATGGCTAAGAAGAAACAAAAATCAGCTCACTCACAATCCCAAGGTTCGTCGCCGGGCGAGATTCGAGTACCCCATTCTTGCCTTAGCAGCCTCCAGCGGCGCTCGTCCCACTCCAGCGAGAATCGGTCCCCCCACATCTTCATTCCACTTCGCCCTAGATAACAAATGTGTCAGCCCCGCCAGCCCTACTTGTCCCCATTCGTAAGCACCCGCTTCTAGACACGATTCTATTGTGGTGGAAGACTGTTCCAATGGGTTAGACCTCGGTGAAGAAGAGGTGGACTACTCGGATTTCGAGGCCGAGCACGTGTCCCCATCCCCGCCTCCCGTAACCACTTCTCCTCCCTTACACTCGGTGGAAGCAGTCGACTCTTGCCAAATTATCGCTACAACTCAGCCTCCACCGCCATCCTCCATCTCGCCCCGACCCCACCATCCTTGTCGAGGTCGGACGGACCCTCGACCGCAGCTCCCGATGCATCCACAATGGCAGACAGCCTAGGTCAATTCCTTCTCCAGTAGGCAAGTGGCGGGACTTATTTGTAAGTAACCGTAACTCAAACCTCTACCCTAAACTATCACATTTTACAACTATTACCGAATCACAACAATGCACTTTGCAACCTCGTCGATACTCACCGTGAATTATGGAAAGTATGCCTTGTGGGATATATTGCTGGAAAATACCCAAGATTTAAAGCCCTCAATGAAATTATCAAGGATACCCGGCATTGTGATGCTTCTCTAACGAGTACATGAATCCGGTCGGCTCATTTATAAATTCCAAACAGAGGAGGATAAGATTTCGGTTCCGAATCGAGGGCCATATATGATTTATGGGCGTGCTTTAATTTTACGTCCAATGTCGAATACTTTGATTTCTCCACATCCGAGATGGCTACCGTCCCCGTTTGGATCAAACTCCCCAATCTCGTCGCTCAAATGTTGGTCCACCGCATGTTTGTCTAAGATTGCTAGTCCGCTGGGTAAGCCTCTTCAATGTGACCGTCTCACTCGCTTCCATGGACAGACTTTCCTATGCTCGGGTCCTTGTTGAACTCAACATTATGGAATCCCTCCCTTGGATGGTCAACATCCTTATACCGAATAATACCACCTTTGTGCAGCCAATAGTCTATGAGTCTCTTCCCATCCATTGCAAAAGCTGCCGAACTCTTGGGCATTCCACAAGCAGCATGTAAAACTCGAGCACCTTTCCCATAAATGGCAAGGTGCAGCCTACTGATGTGCAGGCCGGAATTAGTGTTTTTCAACATCTAGGTGACTCTGCCATGCCGAGCCCGCCCATAGCCCACTCCCTCTCGCCTGCAGCTCCCTCATCTCCCGATCCCATGCTACAAGAAGCTCGCCGAGTGGGTGACAGTGAGGGCCAAAACAAACCTATGTCGAACCGGTGATAAAGGTAAAACAATCCCATGCTACATAGCCAAGCCCCCTCTCACACCGAGCCGATTGAGGTTCGATCCGGGTTGGCGGGTGCAGCAACAGGGATACAAGGGGACCGAGTAGCCACATTATTGACCAAGGCGGACAACGGGGCCATTGTGCCGTAGACATAACTCATCGGACTACTTGTGCAAATGGCTCTACCGATAGACTTAATAGTGGCACGTCCGGGCCTCCCATCACAGAGGTAGTTTCTAACAAGCTAAGCCGAATGCTTAGCAGTTCCTAATTCCCTTGGGGACACCTTTCCGGACCCCCGATCAAACAAGAAGAACGGATGGTAACCGTGACTTCACCTAGGCCGACAGCCAAGAGAGGAGTAGCAATGGGCGTAAGCGTGGGTCGAAGAGGGTCAACCTCTTCTGCTCATCCATGATTATCTATAGCTGGAATATCGGAGGGCTTAATAGTCCCTCGAAACAACATGAGGCAAGTGTGTCTCATGAAGAAAAATAAGGATGATGTGTGTGCCTTTGTTGAAAATAAACTAAGTTCCGCTAGTGCTTGTCAATATGCACCAGCTTAGACTCAAGCATTGGAACTTCATGTCCAATGCTATGGTAGCGGAACCGCCCGCATTGCACTCTTCTCGGAATTCGAGCACCGTATCGCTTACTTTGTTAAATGTATCTATCCAAGGTGTCAATGATAGCGTAATCGACCTTGTGCAAGACAGTCGACTTTCAATGTTACTTTTGTCTACGTGCTACACACCGTTATCGCCGTAAGAGAGTTGTGGGCCGACCTTGCATTCGATCGCTGGCTCATTCTCGGGAGACTTTAATTCTATTTTATCACAAGTTGACAAGCATAGGGATACCGTTGTCTCCCACTACGAAACCGTTGACTTTAGAAGTTGTCGCTTTGATCTTGGCCTACCGGACCTTAACTACATGGGGTGCCATTTTACTTGGCATGTGGTCGACGTATGGACAAAAATCGATAGAGTTCTGGCCAACCCTTTATGGTCCTCCTCCAGTGCAGCCCGTTCATGTTCATTTTGGCCCCCGGTGCTTTTTCGTACCACTCTCCGATATTGGTACATTTGGGCCACCGTGCTTCTTCCGGAACCCGTAGCTTCAAATTCTTTAATATGTGGGCCGTCCATGATGCTTTTCTACGAACCGTTGTCGACGAGTTGGGACGCTAGGTTCGGTGGCACCCCAATGTATATACTCTGTCGTAAATTGAAATCACTCAAAGAGCCTCTTAAGCAACCGAACAAACTCCATTTCAGCCACATCTCCCAACGGGTAACTAGGGCCGAATCCGATTTGTCTACCATCCGATCCGAGCTTCACTCGGATAGAGATAACTTGGAGCTTAGTCGGACGGAAAAAGACTCCGGCTCCATTTGGCTAACCTCAAAGCTTCGTAAAAGATGTTCTTTGGGCGAAATTAAAGTGCAAATTTCTTAAGGATTGCGACAAAGGCACTAGTTTCTTTCATCGACTCATGAACCACAAGCATAAAGCCAACTATATTGTCGCTCTTCATCGGGGTGACGGGCATCTCACTACCTCTATCGCGAAGTGGGAGAGGAGTTTGTCTCCTACTATCACAACCTCTTAGGTTCCACCAAAGCCACGGCGCCCCTCGACCCACGGATTGTTGATAGTGGGCCTTGCCTACATACGGCCAGCCATGATCGGCTTCTCTCCCTGGTCTCGATGGACCTCATCAAGAAGACACTCTTCAAGCATAGACAATGACAAGGCACCGAGCCCTAATGGATATTCGTCTTTCTTCTTCAAACGAGCTTGGGAGATTGTTGGACAAGATTTTCGTGCGAGCGGTTCAAGACTTTTTTGTATCCGGGTAGCTCCTTAAACAAGTTAGCCACTCTGTTGTAACTTTGGTCCCAAAAATGGCCAATGCTACCGTTCCAAATGACTTTAGGCCAATCTCGTGCCGTAATGTCATCTATAAGGTCATCACCAAGATCATCTCCTCTCGGCTATCCTTGGCACTAATGGATATAGTCAATCCTATACGTAATGCCTACCTCGAGGGTCGAAAAATGTCGGACAATATTTGTTTGGTACAGGAGTTACTTCGCATGTATGGTCGGAAACGTGCTTCCTCGAGATGCCTAATGAAGATCGATTTTTGTAAGGACTTAAACTCGTGCAATGGGATTTCCTAAAATGACTCCTATTAAAATTAGGTTTCCTGGACGGATTTGTTGGTTGGATTTGACATGTGTTGAATCGGCCTCCTACTCCATCTCGGTCAACGGGGGCATGTTTGGTTTCTTCTCGGGTAAGGCCAGGGTTAGGCAAGGTGACCCCCTCTCTCCCTACCTATTTGTGGTATGCATGGAATACTTCTCTCACCTACCGAAGATTGCTACTCGGCATTCTGATTTTCGCTTCCACCCTCAGTGCGAGGTCCATGCCATCACCCACCTAGCATTCGTGGATGACGTCTTGTTACTTAGCCGTGCCGATGCCGCCTCCATCAAGATTCCGACCAGCCGCTTGCTTATCTTTGAGAGTGTTTTCGGCCTAGCCATCAATGTGGCCAAGTCCTCCATCTTTTTTGGTGGGGTCGAAGCGATTTAAAAGAATCCATCCTTCGATGAAACTGGGTTTTGTGAAGGTTCTTTCCCTTTCAAATACCTAGGGGTCCCTCTTAGCCCTCATCTTCCGCTCTCTAGCCGGCTTGCACCTTTGCTACATAGTCTCGATTCATCGATCCAGAGCTGGATGGGAAAACATCTATCCTATGCGGGTTGGCTAGAGCTCCTCGCATCCGTCCTCTTCAAGCATGATACAATTCCGGCTCGCTATTTTTCCTATGCTCGTTGTGGTCATTGCACATATCACCAGTATGTGTTAGAATTTTTTATGGACGGGAGATGTCAATAGGTGCTCTTCGGCTTTGGTGGCTTAGTAGAGCCTCTATTCCCCTAAATCCGAGGGGGGCCTTGGGGTATTTGATATCAAAGTGAAAAACCAAAGCTTTTTGGTCAAAAGGCTCGGGACATACACCTCAAGGTCGACTCTATTTGGATTCGTTGGATCCATCACTTCTACTTGCAAGGCTGCCAAGTATGGGATGCTTCGCCCACCGCAACGCTTCACCATTGTGGAAAGCCATTCTTCATGTGAAAGACTTGCTTGGTCATGAAATATGCGAGTAAAGATGCAGCTATATGCGAGCTTGCTAGGTGGAACTCGGGAGAAGGAAATTTTTCTAATACCGCATATATAAGGCTTCGACCAGTTAGGGTGCCGGTGTGCTAGGGTAGGGTGATTTAGGAGTCTTGGTCCCCGCCTCGGCATTCCTTTATTTTTTGGCTAGCTGTTAGGGGCGCCTTAAAAACTAAGGACCGTCTCCGATTTCGCCCACCACCGACGTATGCCTCCTTTGTGATCAAGCCTCCGAGTCCATTCACCATTTGTTCTTCTCCCGCCTCTGGACAGCCGAACTCGTGGTTGGAAATCAAGCAATGGCTCCGAATCCGTAGGGGTATGCATACACTCACTAGTGCGATCGGAGGCCTATCTTGTCGTCGTAACAACCTTGAAGCAAAAATGAGGAGAGTGGCCCTTGGTATCACAGTTTATGTCATCCGGGAAGAGCGAAATAGGCGTGCCTTTAATGCCTTAGCCAACGACGGTAGCCAATGTGTTTCATAAATTCCAAATAATCTTTTACACGATTTTTTACTTTCATGAATCAGACCCCCGACCTCTTATCTCGTGGGTGCGCCTTGATCTCCTATTTGAGGGCTTCGAGTACTATCCGGACAGATTGCTTCGTTTGGTCCTTCGGGTTCGAGTCTTCTCGGGTTGCTTGTCTCCTCTTGTCTGTTTTGAGTTGGTGGTTCGGCGCTATGTTCGATCCGGGGTAGCTCCTCTTTGGGATTGTCTACTCCCTCTTGGTTCTTTACGACCTAAGCCATCGGCCTCTCCTGCCGATGCTTGGAGTTGGTTGAGCTTGCCTTTGTTGGTGGCTTACCACCTTTTTCGGGTTTAATTGTAGGTCTCGTTTAATTAGTTTGGTTGGCTTCTGGTTTGGTTGGATATGGGTTGTTTTGTGTGGGCTCGGCTTTTGGTTTGGTTGGCTCCTGGATTGTTTGGGTGGCTTCGCTCCTTGGCCTCTCGCCGCTATTGGTCTTACTATTCTGCGCTATGGGTCTCCCAATCTTGGCCGGCTTGATATGTCCGTTGGGTTGGCCTACTCATGAAATTAGGCCTTGACCCTTTCTTCCCGCCTAGCTTGTCTCCCCGCCCGACTCGACGCTCCTGCTCCGCTAGCCGTTGTTCTTCCCGCTTCGATGGCCCCTCACTTCTGCCGAGCTAGTAGATTCCACGAGTATGGTTTCGGTGTTTTACCTTTGGTTGTCTCTACCTTGGCTAGCTCGATTAGTCCGCCTTCTCTTCTTCCCCCGACTGTCGGTCCACATCGATTAGGCTTCACCGGTCCGGTTCCTCTATTGTGTCCAAGCCTCTTTTTCTCGTCTTACGCCGGGCGGCTCCTTCGGATGCCTTTGTGTTTGTTCCCGTGCCTCTGCCGGTGATGAATGGAGTTGGTTGAGCTTGCCTCTGCGGGCGGCTTACCCTTTTTTCGGAGTTGATTGTAGGTCTGCTTGATTGTTTGTGTGGCCTCCGGCTTTTGGTTTGGTTGGCTTCGGTTTGGTTGGATATGGGTTGTTCTTCCGTGTGGGCTATGGCTTTTGGTTTGGTTAGCTTCGGTTTGTTTTAGACACCTTCTCGCTCCTTGGCCTCTCGCTGCTCGTTGGTCTTACCGTCTTGCGCCATGGGTGTTCCGGCCTTGGCCGGCTTGATCCGTCTATTGGTTTGGCCTACTCACGTCTGCCGAGCTTGTAGTTTCCACAATATGGATTTAGTTGTTTTCCCTCTAGTTGTCGCTACCTTGGCTAGCTTTTGCCTTCTCTTGTTTCCCCTCACTGCCGGTCCACAACGGATTACGCTTCACCGGTTCGGCTCCTCTATCGTGTCCAAGCCTCTTTTTGTCTTGTGCTAGGCGGCTACTTCGGATGCTCCTTGGTGTTTTTCTCGCTCCCCTCGTGTGGTTTTACGCCCGGCTTGCCCATCCGCCTCGACCGTTGCCTCTCGCTCCCGCTTGCTGCCGTCCATCTCTTGTCATGCGGTTTCTCTCTTTCGTCCGGCTTTGTGGATAGCCAAGCCCGGCGGCCTTTGCTATCTATGCGAGCAAGCCAAGCCGTTGCTCGTCGGCCCTACTAGCCCCCGTTCTCGCTATGCCGTTAAGGCGCAATTGGGGTCCGCTTACACTTGCTATCGGTCACGTCCGCTCGCACCTATTTGGGCGGGCCTACTCGGCTGTAAGGCCTCCTTGTTCCGTTGTTAAGGGCTTAAGTCCTCCTTGTCTCTGTCAAGCCAAGCTATTGATGAAGCTCCACTGCATCCTTGACCTATTACACTACTAGAGTAGGCTCTGCTACCCTTCCTGTTTTGACAATAGCTAGCTCCGGGTCTCCTATCTTAGTCGTATGTTGTTTTCTCGTTGTATTCAAAAAAATGCTTTGTACATGGTTAGGCTTTGCTCTTTTTTGCCCCGTCAATAAGGTTTTTGTCTCGTTGTTGAGCCTTTTGTAAAGGGTACTAGCTAGTTTCCGCTTGGTTCCTATTTGGTTTCTCTTGGAATCTTCGCTTGATCGATTCCTTCGAGCAACCATCTAGTCATAGCTCCGGTTCCGCTTCATGGGAGCATGTTCCCCTTTTGTAAAACCCGTATATGTTACTCTTGTCGGCTCTCCAGCTAGTTTTACTTTGATTTATACACTTACATTTCAAATCAAAAAAAAAAAAAAGAAAGAGCTCTCGGACTCGGTAGGTGCCTCATGTGAGAGAAAGTAGAGAGAGATGCTCTCCTCCCCCAATGGAGATCTTTCCTCAAGTTATGGCCGGCGTCACATCCGAACCTCCTTCCCTCCGATTTTCTACCATCGTCCCGACCTTCCCTTCCCCCCAACCGTTTCCGTTCATCTTCTTCCTCCCTCTTTTTCTCTCTCCTCGCCGACCTCCATTTCCTTCCCCATTTTCCCTCCGCTCGCCCACTTGTCTCCCGGTTCTTTTTCCCTTCGGCCATGGCCAACAAGAAGAAGAAGAAGAAAACACCCCCTAAGTCGAAGACCACACCATGCCGAACGAACTAGTTCCGCTCCGGTTGCTCCGGCCACCGGCTCCAAATCCGTCCCATTTTCGGTCGGTCCTCCCCCGGCGGGTCCAAAGCGAGCGGCCCCTCGGTCCCTCTAGTCGCCGCTGCTCGTGGAAGAGGTTTTCGATGACGAAGCTTCAAGCTCTAATGAAGAAGGGCCGAATTCGATGAGGAAGGCGGCTACGAAAGTTCGAGTTGAAAATTTAGTTCCCCCCCCAAACAAGTTGAGTGAAAATTTGGCTTTCCGCCAAAAATTCCAGTTGTCGAAAATTCAAGTTTGGGTGGCAATTTGGTTTCCCGCTAGACAATTTCAACTGCTATCGCAAATTCAAGTTTGGGAGGCAATTTGGTTTCCCACCAAAAGTTTCCAGCTCCCGGCTCCCGCCCAAACTTTGGTCGGCTCCCACTCGCCCTCTCCTCTCCTCCGGTCTCCATCTCCCCAACATTGCGAGCCCGTTTCCGGCTCATGTTCTAGCAAAGGGCTTGAGGCGTTTGATCTTGCTCCGTCGGACTCCACCGGGCCTCCGGTCGATGGATGACCCCCACTCTCCTCCCCAGTACGTGCCGAGTAACTCTCAAGCTCCCTCTTCCAAATGGCGTGATCTATTTGCTTCTAATCGTAATGCTCGCTCTATGCCCGAAACTCACTCATTATAGTGCTATAACTTAAAGCAAAACTTACATTTGCTTGCCGTTGATTCGCAATGCAAAATGTGGAAGTCTTGTCCGATTGGTTATGTTGTCGGCAAGTCTCCCGGCTATAGGGCTCTTTCCAAAATTATCGAGAACACATGGCAATGTCATGCTTCGTTATCGATTCATGACTCCAATTGGCTTGTGTATAAGTTTTCCTCCGAAGAAGCTAAGTTATCAATTTTGAATGGGGGCCCTTATCCGATTTTCGGTAGGCCCTTATTGCCGTGACCTATGCTCGAATTCTTTGACTTTTCCCTCACCGAAATGGCTCGAGTGCCGATTTGGGTGAAGCTTCGAATCCGCCCTTAACCACTTGGTCCCCTCTATGTCATTCGAAAGTGGCTAGCTTATTGGGCAAGCCTATCAAGTGCGACCGACTAATCGCCTCCATGGAACGAATCTCCTTTGCTAGGGTTTTGGTTGAAGTCAACATCATGGAGGAGCTTCGAAATTCTTAAGTATTGGGCTGCCGAATGGTTCTTCTCTTCGCCGACAAGTGGTTTATGAAACACTCCCGACGCATTGCAAGCACTCGTCAAATTCTAGGGTACTCTACGTCTTTTTGTAGGAAGGTCGCTCAAGTGGCCGGCTAGAGTCGGAGCGTTGGCCATGTAGAGAATCCGAGCCTAGGCGATTCTCGGAGGCCTGCTATTGGGGGAGGCTTAGCGGTGCCTACTAGCCTTGCGGGGCTCCTTCGAAGGCCGTTCCTTTTGACCCTATGGTTTCGAGAGGCCGGGCGGCGGCGGGCGAGTGGATATTAGTTTCGGCCGGGCCAAAGCCGGCGCTCGCTCGAATCGACAGTGCTCGGTCTTGACGAGCTTCGCCCTCTCGGTTGGGACGAGCAATCGGATGAGCGAGTTCGGGAATCTCATCTCGCCTCTTTGGTTCGGATAGACAAGGGTAAAGCGCCTACGGTAGCTCCTTCATGGGTAGAGCCGGCGGATTCTATGGTTGGCGCGGGCGCCCGGCCCGTAACCGCTAGGGTTCGGGACGGCGCGGCGCCAGGGGGGTCGGCCTCCAGCGCGGGCATGGGCTCGGTGACTCCGAGCCGTCGGTAGTGGCTATAGGCGCAAAGGATGGGCTTTTGTTGGGCGGCGCTAGCGCGTAGCCCGTTCTTGCAGTGCTTGGCATGCGGCCTGCTATCGTTGGCATATAACTCGGTCTCGCCGGCGCTCGGGCCGGGCGCGGCGTGCGGGGGGACGACCACCGACAAATGACCGGTTTTTGCGATTCCGAACGAGCGATTGTAGAGATAGGCACAACTCGATGGGGCTTTGTTGGATATGGTTAATGCTGGCTTGCTAGACCTCCCATAGGTTGAAGGGTCTCGGGCGCAAGCCCTAGCGCTAAGCGAGCGTCGTAAGATAAAGAAGACAAAAAGGAGTGCTAAGGGGGCCCGCCCTCCGTAGCGGCCGTATGATTGTCCTCAATTGGAATGTTAGGGGCCTTAATTGTCCCCTAAAACAACATGAGGTTGCTGGCCTCATGCGTTTGAAGAAGTTGGATGTTTGCGCTTTAGTCGAAACCAAGCTCGACCGACTAAGCTAGCTCGCTTTCATTGGTTTCGGCTTAAGCGGTGGAAGCTTACCTCTAATGCCTCCGAGTCCTCCAAAGCTCGCATTGCCCTCTTTTGGAATCCGGATATAGTCTCGGTTGAGCTTTTGGACCTTTCTCCTCAAGGGTCGCATGTTCATATTCACGGCCTTGTCCATCGATCGCGAGTTTCATGCCACCTTTGTCTATGGTCTTCATACGATCTCTAGTCGTCGAGAGCTGCGGGAGGATCTTCGATCCTAGAATCCTCCTAGTCGGTGGCTCGTTCTCGGCGACTTCAATTCTATCCTTTCTCCGAAAGACAAGTATAACATGTGGCGGGGTCCAATTATGAGTCTTTGGATTTCCGCTCTTGTTGTTTGGATTTGGGTCTACTCGGACCTAACATATACGGGCAGCCAGTTCACTTGGAACGGCGGTAGTGTTTGGACCAAGATTGATAGAGTTCTCGCCAACCCCTCTAGCCCGTTTCCTCTCTGCCTACTTCGGTCCATTTCAGCCCACTTGGGGCTTTCTCCGACCATGCTCAAGCTTAGGTTCGGATTGATAGTCGACCACTTCTCGGCGGAAGTCGTTCAAATTTTTCAACATATGGGCTCTCCATGACATCTTCCTCCCACTTGTTGATCGTCACTCGGGCCCGCGGTATACATGGCACCCCGATATTCTCTCTCCGTCGCAAGCTTAAGACTACGAAGTGGCATCCGCGTGAGCTCAATAAGCTTCACTTCGGCCATATTTCGAGCATGTGGCCCGAGCACAAGATGATCTTAACCGTATTCGGCATGCCTTACGGTCCGACGGAGATAATGGCGGCCTTCTTGAGCGGGACAAATAGCATAGGCTGGCCTCCATCAATCTCAAGTCGGCGGAGAAAATGTTTTACGGTCGAAGCTCAAATGCAAGTTCCTTGAAGAGAGTGATAGGGGCGATCAATTCTTCCACTCCCTCATGAACCAAAATCACAAGAAGAACTTTATTACGGCTATCGCGGATGATGAGGGTCGACTCACGACTTCGCTTTTTGCCGTAGGTGACATTTTTGTTGGGTATTATCGGAGGCTTCTTGGTACCGCTCGGGCTACCACTCCCCTTGATGTCGGGGTTGTTTCTCGCAAGCCTTGCCTTGATTCGGACTCTCACACGCTTTTCCTTGTGCTCGTTTCGGATGACTTAATCCGTGAGACTTTGTTTGGTATCGACAACGATAAAGCCCGGGTTCGGATGGTTTCTCGTCTCATTTTCAAGAAAGCTTGGGACATAGTGGGGGCCGATTTTTATCGTTGCCATAAAAGATGTTTTCTCCTCCGATCGGTTGCTTAAACGGGTTAACCACTCGGTTATTGTGCTCATTTCGAAATCGGCACATTCCTCCTCTCCTTTGGATTTTCGGCTAATTTCTTGCTCGTAATGTGGTTTATAAGGTCATCTCGAAAATTCTCTCTTCCGAGGTTAGCGTGTGCCTTGGTCGACATCATCGGTACCATGCAAAACGCTTTCTTAGGTGGACGGAAAATGTCGGATAACATCCACCTTCTCTAAGAATTGCTCCGGCACTATGGCCGTAAGCGTGCATCGCCTCGGTGCCTTTTGAAGGTGGACTTCAAGAAGGCTTTTGATTACGTGCAATGGTCATTTCTCCGCAATCTTCTCTTATCGCTTGGCTTCTCAAGTACTTTTGTCCACTTAATCATGGCTTGTGTGGAATCACCGTCCTACTCGGTTTCGGTGAATGGTTGCTTGTTTGGCATTTTTTACGGCAAGGGTGGGATTCGGCAAGGAGACCCGCTCTCCCTTACCTCTTTATAGTATGCATGGAATACTTCTCTTGCATGCTCTTGTCCGCCTCGGATAGTGCTTGGTTTTCGTTTTCACCCGTAGTGTGAAGTCCACCGAATCGGTCACATTACGTTTGCGGATGATGTTATGCTCCTTTGCCAAGGCGACGGGGGTTCGGTTCGGTGCTTGACATAGCAAATTCAAATGTTTAGCGGCGTCTCGAGTCGACCATAAATTCAGCCAAGTCCTCAATTTACTTTGGTGGCATAGGAAGTTCTCTGAAGCGAGGCTATCCTTCGGGATACGGGGTTTTCCGAAGGCTCATTCCCCTTTCGTTACCTTGGTGTCCCTCTTAGTCCTCACCGTCTCTTAGCTAGCCAATTGTCACGGACTTGGCCTTTCCCAAGCTCACGTGCGGCACTTGGCTCTCTTCTTCTCTAAGACAAACCAAGTCGGCCTTCCTCACACAAAGTTGCTAAGCAAGAAAGACACACACAAGAGATATAAAATACTCTTTGTATTGCTTTCTAAAAGCTTACAACTCTAAAGACACACTCTCTTAAGTTTATGAATGTCTAGGTGTCTTGGCCAAGTGAAGGCCTCACCTATTTATAGCCTTCCACCTCCTCAATGGATGGCTAGGATCTATTTAATCTAATGGCTACAATTAGTTCTCTAGAAATATCCTACCTAGATATTTACATGGAACTATCTAGATATTCACATGTTAGATTAGTGAGGGACTCTCTAGAATTCTCTAGATCATCCTAGAGACTTCTCCAATGCTCCATATTCTTCTAGAAGCTTCCGGACTTATCTAGAGGCTTCTCCATTGTTCCATGCTCTTCCGAAGCTTCCGGACCGATCTAGAGGCTTCTCCATTGTTCCATACTCTTCTAGAAGCTTCCGGACTTTTCTTGTGTTCTCTAGAATTTCTAGAAAAATCCCTCTTTTAGGCGGAGCGTAACACTCTCCCCCACCTAATTCGGCGACGTCCTCGGCGCGCCTTCATTATATTCTTCGACCTTCCGTGCGAATTGCCACAAGGCTTCGGCGGGTTCCCAACTAGCCTCGCTATCGGGTAATCCCTTCCATTTTACGTAGTACTCCTTCCTTGGTGGCACTCCACGGCGTCTAACTATGCGGTCATCAAGTATGACATCAACTTCTTTGTCATACGAGTTCACCACCGCTGTAGGTGCCCTATAAGAAACTCATCGGCTTGGATCCTCCTCGTCCGCATGGTATGGTTTTAGCATACTAACATGAAATACCGGATGGATCTTCGGCTTTGGTGGCAACTCTAAGCGATAGGACACCTCTCCCACCTTGTGCACTACTTCAAATGGTCCTTCATATCGTCGTATAAGGCCTTTGTGCACCTTTCGAAATGCCTTATGTTGCTTGTGGTAGCAACTTCGGCATCACCTTGTCACTCGGGTTGGAAGGTGACATCTCTTCGTCTCTTGTCGGCCCATTTCTTCATCTTCTTGGCGGCCTTGTTCAAATACACTCGCGTCAAGTCCGCACTCGCTCCTGCCATTCTTTGGCTAACAAATATGCACTTGGGCTACTTCCTTGGTACTTGTCACCAAGCACCATCGTATGTGGAACGAGAGGCTGCCGGCCCGTCACAATCTTAAATGGACTCTTGCCGGTAGACTCACTCTTTTGTAAGTTGTAAGAGAATTGGGCAACATCTAGCAACTTAGCCCAATCTCGCCGGTTGGCACTCACAAAGTGCCTCAAGTATGTCTCCAACAAGGCGTTAACCCTCTCGGTTTGCCCATCCGTCCGAGGGTGAAAACTTATGGAGTAATGGAGCTTCGAGCCTAGCAACTCAAATAACTCCGTCCATAGCTTCCCAATGAATCGAGGATCTCGATCACCGATGATATGTCGCGGCACGCCCCGATACTTCACCACATGCTTGAAGAGTAGCTTAGCGGTGTTCTCGGCCATCACATCCGCCGGGGCTGGTATGAAAGTGGCATACTTGGAGAACTTATCCACAACCACGATAATGCTCCCAAAGTTCTTCGATTTCGACAAAGCCACTATGTAATCCATGGTGATTGTCTCCCATGGTCTCTCCGCGATAGGCAAAGGTTGCAATAGACCTCCGGGTGCTCGATTTTCAACTTTGTCTTGTCGGCACACCAAACATGTCCTCACATAGGACTCCACATCATCGCGCAACCGTGGCCAAAAGTATGCCCCCTCCAGCGAGGCTCTAGTGCGTTGTTGTCCCGGATGTCCAGCCGACATCGAGTCATGGCATTCCTTCATCAAATCTCGTCGGAGGTTTCCCCACTTAGGTACATAAATCCTCCTTCCCTTCGGGTAGAGAATGCCATTCTCCTCCAAACATTTTCGAGTCTTGCCCTCCTTTGCAAGGCTCAACAAGCTCTTGGCAATGGGATCATGCTCCACTCCTTCCTTGATTCGGCCACGATCTCCCCATCGACCTTCGATATGTGATGCAACTCGGCCTTTCTACTAAGTGCATCGGCCACCACATTGGTCTTGCTCGGCTTGTACTCAAAGATATAATCAAATTTGGCAAGAAAGTCTTGCCATCAAGCTTGTTTCGGCGTCAACTTCTTTTGAGTTTGAAAGTAGCTAGTGGCTACATTGTCCGTCTTCACCACAAATCGAGACCCGAGCAAGTAGTGTCTCCAAGTGCGCAAGCAATGCACCACTTGCGGTCATCTCCTTCTCTTGC